TGTGAATGGGTTATGTTGTCATTTTGCTATTGTGGTTGTGTTACTGCTCGTTTTTGTCGCTAGCTACAGTATGGTACATTAAGTGTGGCAGTTAAAATAACTAGGCTAAATATAGATCAAATTCAAATATTTTGGGCGGTTTTTGGGCTGGAAACCATCAACTCTATCTGGCAACACTGGCCTTATTCCTCAGCTGTGAGTAGAGCCCTTTGAAGCTGCACTGAAACTGCAATTTGGAAGTTCAAACTGTTGAGTACCATAGAAGTCCATTATATGGAGAAAAATCTTGGAATGTTTTCCTCAAAAACCTTAATTTCTTTGCAACAGAAGAAAGAAAGACATTGAACATCTTTGATGACATGGGGGTGAGTAAATTATCAGGACATTTTTATTCTGGAAGTGAACTAATCCTTTAAGGTCAGAAAGTGTTAGGAGTAGGGAGGAGGACTTTTAAAAGGCTTACTTTAGCAGAGGAGAAAGTATATTATATGTGTGTGAGTGAGTGTGAGTGAGTGAGTGAGTGAGTGAGTGAGTGAGAGAGAGAGAAAGAGAGAGAGATTAGGATAAAACAGGAAAAACTAGGCCTGTATGTGAAGGCTTGTAATTTACCCTATTTAAAAGCACTCTTTTTTTTTTCTTCTAGGACAACTAATCATCGTCTTCAAAATGTCGAAAAGTCATACCAGCCAACAGGATCAGCCCCGCCTCCTCACTAAGATTTTTGTCTTTTCCTTGCTCAGAGTTGCTCTCAGATTGGTCCTGAATCACTCTTAAAGGGAGATTCCTTTTTTGAAAATTTTAAGCTAAATTAGTAGCTTTCTTAGAGGATTCTTAGAAGCTTTAAGAATACGGGCCCTGGGTTGAATTTAGAGGTCGACCGATTGATCAGGCCGATTTATTACATTTTTTAATTAATCAGCATCGGCCGACTGTACTGCAAATTAGGCCAATTAATAGGCAGGCGCATCTGCGAGCAGCTATGTGTTGTTGTGGTACATGTGACGCTGCCTCTTGAGGCAAGCAGATTGCCATTCCACCAGCATAAATCCCTGGGGGCTTTCACACTGGCAGTTTAGTTCAAAATGGGGCATTCAAGTTTTTATTTTTATTAAGTTTTATTTAAATTATACAAGTGCACTGATTGGACAGGCTTGTGTTGTTCAATAAATGTTTAATTTAAGCAATTTTCTGTATCACTTCTTCCCTTGGGGGGGGGGGAGAACATCGGCCAAACACATCGGCATCATATATTGGCCATCGGCTGCCCTGATTTCTAAATAAAACACTCCTTTAGCAGTGGTGGTTTTCGTGCCTCGCAGAGTTATGCAAGTCCTTTCAAGCACATTTTAAAATATATGATAGGTTGCATACAAATGATGTGTTTGATAAAAGGGAGTTATTTTACAAAGGTATATGTTACATGTGCACATAGAGGAGGGTATGCGACTGTAAAAAGTTTGAGAAGCACCTTTAGTTGACCTGATTCAACTAAAAGGCATTGGATTGGAACCTTTTATTGTATGTAATTAAATAATAATACAAAGTAATCTAATTAACATAAATAAATACAACGTTATGTTGGATTTACTTCACTTTTTAAAACTTGTGTATTTATGTTTAAGTATGTTAGTATGTATTCACTCACATTTCACGTTATGCAAAATAAAGTTAAATATTATTGCACAATTAAGTGATAGAAAAGTAAGGTTTTCAGTAGCTATGTTTCCATCCAAAGATGCGAATTTAACTTATGCGCAAAACTGGAATATCGCATAAAACATTTGCGAATAAAGCACCGTTTCCATCCAACGAGTCAAAGAGAACAAAATCATCACTTCCTGATAAACTAGCACTAAATATCTCTAAGAAAACTAGGAGAAGCCACTGAATATAATAATTTTCACATGTAATAAATTACTTGCGCTTCAGAGAGAGCAGACGTAACACAATAAATGCGGTCATTGCTTTTAGAGGTGGATGCCTGCTGTTTGGGAACGCAGTCATGTAAGACAGTAATTATACAGAAATACTTTGACGACAGATTTTCCTCAGGCATTTCACAGATGCTGTGAACGAGATCGGTCTGCTGCTAGTCAAGTTATCCCGTCTCATAGCGCAAAGTCACATGACTTTTTCAATGCGCATGGTGGAATTTATTCGGTAAATGTGTTTCCATCGTAGTTTATGCACATTGTTTCTTATCGGATAAAAAGTTTATCCTACTCAGTTGTGCACATACATTTTTTATGCGTATTTTTAGAATTTATGCGCATCTTGACATTTTTATATCCAGCGGTTTTTTATGCGATCATCCAAAATGCGCATAAAAATAGGTGTATGAAAACTATACCACATGTGTTTTTTTTTTTTACACAAAATAACTATTTTGTTTAGGCTACTTCTGCATTTTTCCCCCCTTATCTTTATTTCTGTAGAACTGGACATTTTAATAAGGATGTAATAAGTGACTTTAGCTTTGAGAATGAAAACTAACCTGTTTGTTCCTCAGCATCTTCATGTTTGACTCTGAATGTTTCTTTAATCCTCGTGTCTTCACTCTCCCCTTTAATGAACACCATCTCTGTTTGTGTCTCAGTATCTTCATGTTTGACTCTGAATGTTTCCTAGACATTTTTATATTTTCCTTTTTTTAGTAATGTACTTACAACAGTATACTTTGTGTTTTGTTACCTTGCCATGAAATTACAAAAAATTGTTTTATCTTGTTAATTAATTTATAAAGTCATTGAAACTATATCATAGATTTTTTTTTTTTGCTATTGGGGCAAATGAACACAAAATATATTTGTTGCAGTTTCCATTCATCACTATAGAAGTTTAAACACCTATGATGACTTTAACTTCTGAGAGCCCTGGATATGTAACAAGGGTCTATACACATACAAGCTCACATTATCTGTTGCATGAATTTTGTCAGTCACCTATAAAGTTAAGAATTTGGGATGAAGGATGTCCTATATAGTTTTATTTGTGAGATGGACAGTATCTGTCAGGAGATCCTTTCTTCCTCACCCTTTCTGTGAAATGTTGAGTTAAGGGCTTCAGGGGTTTGACAACTATTTTAGTTGCCATTGACACAATTCCATACCAGGCAGGGAGATGAAAAGTTAAAACACTGTCAACAATAGTTTTATACACAGGTTGTAATATCTGCTGACTAACACAGAGGCTGCTGATTTTATGAGAAGATCGAGTCACTGCGAGCATCTCCTGAAAATATACTCAACTGAGAGTCCAGAATTGCATCAAGGTATTTAAAGTTGATCATAATTTCAACATGTTGGTCATCGAGTGACACTGGCTCAATATTGATTTCTAGCTGACTGAAGTGACTATGATTCAAGGGCCTTCATGTGAGCCAGAAAGGCAGCTTCGCCTAAAGAATCTGTTTTCTCTATGAAATAGGAAATGGTAGCATACTTAAACTGTCTGAAGTGTTTCTCCTTGATCATAAACTCACTGGTAAAAAAGGGAAAGCCTTGTGGACAACCTACTCACAGTGAGCTCGTCTGACCTGCTCCCTCAGACACAGACCCTCGATGAGCGGCAGGAAAGAAAGTTCCCTATCGATACTTAACTCATACTGCGTCTGCTTAAGACGCTTTGGGGAAAACTCCTTTTTCTCTGAATACTGAAGCCTTTTTTCAATCACGCAGTGTAACTGCACGGCCGTTGGTTCGTGCAGTGTATTAAAAACGAACCAATGGCTCGGCATGCGCCGGTGAGTCTCGTGAAAACCAACGTTTGTTTACAGGATCAAAAGAATAAAAG